CCCCCCTTTACCCAACGTACACATCAGCTGATCTGTGAAAGACGGCCAACGCTCCATTCTCGGACTTCCACAGAAAGCGCTGTCGCCCAGGGGCTGAGCAGGGTCCAAACTGGACAGTGTCACCTCTTGCTTCCAGACATTTCAATCCTTTAAAGCCTCTTGACTTGCAGGTCTTGCTGGTCATAAGGCCAAGAATACACGGAGAGTGGAAACATTTTGTCGCCCTAGTGAGTGGCCTGGCCTGCGCCAAAAAACGGGTAAAAGCAGGTGTCATGAACGCTAGGCCATCGTGCCAGTAACTTTTAGAAACACTCATTATTCATTCAAGGGAAGGCTTCTGACCCTTCTGGTCTCTTAGGTTTCCTTACATTTGCTTTGAGATGCTTTCTATGGCTCTTTATAGCTGTTCTACCCAGTCGGTTCCTTTTTACTAAGCTAATGTCAAGGTGGGTCTGCAGTCGGTTCATACGCACTGGCTGTGCAGTGAAGGTGTGAGCAGGGACTACCCAGGGAGCCTCGGATTAGTCCCTGGGCACTTTGGAAATTGAGAGCTGACTGTAGAGTGTTTGCCAGTATTTTTTTAACATTTATCTTTATTGTTGGAAGTATTACAAATGTCCTTTTTTTCCCCCATTGACCCCTTGTACTAAATATCGTTATGTTCATGCTAATGAAGAGGAGATACCGATGACAAAGAAAAATGTAATCACTGAGTCATTGATACATACCTTTGTCCAGAGCTGTGATCTCTGGGTGCCAGCTTGAGCCCGCATGACCCAAAATAGTACACTAATTCAATTTTTAAGAAATTGATGTTTTAGTTCTAGGAGGCTGAGAGGTGGCTGTTGTTGTAAAGGGATGCTTTGGAATTGTGAAGACCTGTTGGTTGCACTTTGGAAATCTTTAGCTAAGTTTTCAGAGCATGCCTTTGGAATGTGCCCTGCGAGGCTGCTTATTGGGTGCACGTGTCTGCCCTTGAGGGTGAAATGGCCCTAACTCTACCTCCCCGTTTTGCATGCGGTGATTGTACTTGCAGAAAACCCTTCTCACAAGATTTAGCCCAGGTGATCTTCTGATCCTCTCTCTGCACAGACCAACTCCTAATAGGACTTCCCTCTCCCTCTCTCTCCGTTCTAAAGTTAGAAATGCTCCTTAAGGAAACTGTCCTTGGATTTTCATCACTTTCAGTTACCTTTTCTTTTAGGAATGTTAGACACCGGTTCCCCCTCAGCCGCTGTCTGAAAGCTCCTCACTGTCAGGGTGGCTAGACAAAGGAAGCCAGAGGAAAGGGGGAGACACCACGCGTCCAAGAGACACAAAGCACAGTGCTTGTCTCATTCTGAGTTCTTACAGCTCTCAGCTTAGGCTCTTTGCTTGGTTTTCTTTTCATTTTACTGTGATTACTGGTGGTAGAAGATCAGTTTACCAGGTGGTTGGTGGTACCTAGACTGGTTCTCCCCATGGGAAAGCCCGAGCATTCTCTGGCTACAACTCACAGGCGTTCCCATGACGTCAGCAAAAGATAATGCCTATCTCTTCAGAGTGGTTATTTTGTTTTTTTGGTGTTTCTTTTTTTTTTAAACATATCTTTATTGATTTCAGAGAGAGGAAAGGAGGGGAAGAGAGAGAGATAGAAACATCAATGATGAGAGAGTCATTGATCGGCTGCCGCCTGCACACCCCCGACTGGGGATCGAGCCCGCAACCTGGGCATGTACCCTGACCGGGAATTGAACCCCGATCTCCTGGATCCTAGGTCAGTGCTCAGCTGCTGAGCCACGCCCGGTAGGGCCAGAGTGGTTATTTTGAATGCTTACGACATTTCCCTTATTCTGTGGAATTCCTTCAAGCGGGAGACTGTTTTTCCATTGTCTCTTCTCTATTGTAATGAAAGTTGAGATCCGGAGGCTGCTGTGCACCACAAATAACCACCTGGGTGCTCAGTAAAACTTAAATCATCAAGCCGAGTAGGAACAAATTAGATGGAAATTTTGCAAAATTACCACCCATGACCAGGGCAGTAAGGAAATAGCCTCCTTTTCTATCGAGCAGTCTCGGTGCCTTCCAGGAAGGGAACTTCTCAGAGACTCCTGGAGGGACTGTAAAATCCAAATTCTGTCCACTCCTGGTGATTTCCGCCCTCTGCTGGAGGCATGGAGTAGAGCACATTTTCAGAAAGGCTGATTTCTCCAAGATGATGACCATTTATTATAGCAGAAGCAGACCCCAATTCACTGACATTTCCTGAGAGTCTCCATTTTTTTATTTTGCAATACCTCATTTTTAAAAAACGTCGTCTCTTTTTTTAGCTTGTTCACTAGACTTAGTATTTTTTTAAAAGTGGCAAGTTCACGGGTACGATTTTCCATGTTCTCTTCTGAGTTTTATATTATACCAACACAGCCATCATTTTATATTTCCTTTTTGTAAAAACTTTCCCTTTCAGAAAATTTAGTAATTGCTTCAGGAACTCTGAAATCAGGAAATCTGCTTAAGGATTTTGTTTTTTAATAAATATTTCTGGTTTGGTCATACAATATTATGTGAGCTATATATCAGAAAGGGGCAAAAGCAGGTTTACAGTGTGAGTACGTGAAGCAGTTTATTCTTATATTATTATTTTATTATTTTATTATTTTTCTGTATAAACAACTGTAAACCTACTTTTGCCATACATTTGGGGGGCCATAGATTGTTTTAATTACCTTCCCTTTATAGAAAAGATGGCCGTGTCTGATAATAGTCACACACAGCTCCGGTCTGGTTCTGTACTCCTGATAATCTTCAGAGTCAGAACATAAAATACTCATGAAGAGTGCTTTGGGAAGTCCTGGACAGGTATTCATAAAGGATTCAGAAGTTTGCCTCCGTTAAAAGGAAAACTTCAGGGTTTAGCATTTCAGTGATAATTCAGGTTTATAATCTGGAGAGGCCCCTTTCTCATAGGGTTCCTATATAGGTCCCCCCCTTTTTTTTTTAATATATCTTTATTGATTTCAGAGAGAGGAAGGGAGAGGGGGAGAGAGAGAGAGAGAGAGAGAGAGAGAAACATCAATAATGAGAGAGTCATTGATCGGCTGCCTCCTGCACGCCCCCGCTGGGGATCGAGCCCACAACCCGGGCACCGTGCCCTGACCGGGAATCGAACCTCGATCTCTTGGATCCTAGGTCGCTGCTCAACTGCTGAGCCACGCCGGCCGGGCCCTATAGGTCCTTTAAAAACAGGCATAGAGATGAATCCATTCGTGTGTTTTCCAAATAACTTCTCATTATTCTTTGTCTTTTTTTTTCTTTTCTTTGAAGACATGACAATGGATGAAGTCCGAGAATTCGAACGAGCCACTCAGGAAGCCACCAACCAGAAAATTGGCGTTTTCCCACCTGCGATTTCTATCTCGAGCATTCCCCTGCTACCTTCTTCAGTCCGCAGTGCCCCTTCCAGCGCCCCGTCCACACCTCTGTCCACAGACGCACCCGAGTTTCTGTCCGTGCCCAAAGATCGGCCCCGGAAAAAGTCTGCCCCAGAAACTCTCACGCTTCCAGACCCTGAGAAAAAAGCCACCCTGAATTTACCTGGCGTGCCCTCTTCAGACCGGCCATGCCGGCCCAAGTCAGAGTAGCTTCATACGAATCTTTCATGGGGTTTTATATTTTTGTTTTCAGGGTTGGTTTTTTTTGGGTTTTTTTTAAGAATCTTCTAATGTAGAAAAAGACTGCTTTGTCACTCAAACATGTTCTTTCGATCTCCAAGTGTGCATGTATGTGGTCACGTAACTTCACATATAATATGAACCCCTGAGTATGCCACACAGCATCGTATTAGATGCAAAATGTAAGACACGCAAAGGACAGAAGGCATCTTCTGTAGTCACAGCTGGAAGCCAGGGAGGAAGCCTTGTTACTGGTCATTTGATGAGGTTGGTATGGACTTCAAGGGTAAATAAATGAAAACTTTGCACCGCCGTGGTCCAAGGTGTGGTAACATAGTGAAGTCAGTTTCCTCCCATCAAACCGGAAATTCTCAAAAATACTCTCAGGCATAACATACCTAATTGTTAAATTTTGAAATGCTCAGCACCAATACTTGAATACTAGTAGTTACTAAGATTCCTATTTTGGTTCCTCTGACTCAGGATTTGGGGCCTAATTAACACTTTAAATTTTTTGAAAATTTTAATTAACCCATAGAGGCTCCAAGTGCAATTGATGATAACTTCTTTATACCTTTCAGAGAATTTAATAAAGATTCCACTTGTTTCTGTCTTTTAATAACTTTCCCCGATGTGCCCTCGCGGCCTCAGAAATCTTAAGAATTACATGGGTGAATGTGACCTGAACTGACAGATTTTGGAAGCGTTGAGTTAGGAACCAAGAGGCCCAGGTGAGGCAAACATCTTTTTACTCTACAGGTACCAACAAACCTTAACTTGTCAGCTTCCATCTTCCACGAAGGATTCTCAGAATTTGCAGTTTATTGAATCGAATTCATTGACTACTTGCCCATTCAAAGAAATTCAAGGGTAGGTAGAGTAAGCTAAGAGGACTTGAACTCTGTCAGAATGTCTGCTTTGGGAAACCCTAAAAAAGAGAATTGTCTCCTATCTCCCTCCTGGTTTTACTTTTAATAACATCCAGGCTCCCTGGAACAGACAGCCCGTCCCCGGACCTTAGGAAAGACTGTCATTCTCTTGCACCTTGCTTGACATCCAAATGTTGGGACCGTCACAGAAATTGAGTAAATACTGTCAAGTGGGGGGCGAGAATGAGCAGAATTGTTGCCTCCAGTCTGTAAAGTAAAAGGGAGAGATAGAAGACGCCCCTCTGCCTGGCTTTCTCTTAGACGAGTGTTGCTACTGCAAAATTAGATCCAAGGTTGACGGGAGGCGAGATCATTCACCAAAGGGGCAGGAAGGGAACTGCCTTCGGTCTTCAGAGGAAAAACCTGCCACCTTCGCACCTCACTGCCGCTCCAACGCAGAAGGAAGGGCGAGCAGAATCTAGCGTTACTCTCGTCCTCTGTGAGAGGAAGCGAGCAAGGTAATCGGCCGCCTTCAGGCCCCCAGCTAGCTTTCTTCACCATAACTTCCAACCTCAGGAAAGGGACCTTCCCAAAACAGATTCCAAAGGAAACACAGACCAAGGAGCATATTTTCTCTCCTGGCCCCTCAGCCCGTGGGCCCTGCCTGCTTCTCTCAAGTGCTCAGCACTCCGAGTTGTGTCTTTCAAGTTGACAGACTCCCAGGTGCAGGCGCTGGCCCCCGAGCCCAGCACCAAGTAAGTGTAAGTCATACGTCAGACTGTCCTTTCTTTATCTACAGGTTGATATTTAGCTCGAGAAAAATAAAAAAATAAACCCAGACCTCAAGGGAAACCAGTTGCCCATAGCTTAGAGCAACGGTGCGTCTCTTCCCTAAGAAAGATAGCCTTGTAGTAAGGCACCTTTGCATGGTATGGTAGCATGACTTTTGCTTGTGGGAAAGCGTAACCCTGTATCAAACCCCTTGGACTTCTCGACGGCTCCCTCTCCACCCAGTAGTGCTTAGCGAGAATGTTTGGCTTCAGAAAGCAAAATCCCATTTTCACAAGGCCGCGATCGTGTACGTGTTCGCTTACCATTTATCCGCAAGCCAAAATCAGGACGGGATGGGGTCGCTTTCTAATGGGACCGATTCATTTTGTGCAGGTTGTTCACACATCTGACACCTAGTTTTTTCCATGAATACCACTGCTCTTTGTAAAGTAGCTTCCGCTCGCAAGGTCCGCAATCCTATACACTTTAGAAAGCTGATTTCTCATTTCCTTCTGTGAGTTTTCTTTCTCTCGTAGGCCGTGCAATGCCACCCGCATCGATTACAAACTGCTAAAGATAGTGTGATCTTTATCCATCAAGTGTGTGTGCTCTTAAACTATGTTCAGTTTCCTGTCTACACATGGTTTGTGTGTATTTAATAAAGGGGGGGTGAGTATATTCCTTCGACTGCTTTGAATATTTAATCCCGTCATCACGAGCATGAATGACTCCAACCTTGTACCTGTCTTGATTTGCAAGTGTCGCTTCACATTCTCCATACATGCATTTGTTTGTTGTGGGATACAAGCGTGCCAGGAACGTGTACATAGAACATTAGCAATTCCTGTAAGGATGGAAATGAAATGGCTGCATGATGGAAACGTAGAAGAAAAATAAAAGCAGAAACTTGAATTCATTAAGCATGTTTGGGGGGAAATAGAACCTTTAACTCAGTGCCTCTGTCTGCGATGTGGGAACCTTCGACTTTGCTCACCAAAATTGTATTATACCTGTATGTATATATGTAAATATAGTATAGTGGGTCAAACACCACCAGTTAGAGGACTCCGGTAGCCAAATTAAAGTAAGTAATCCACAGAATAACACGTGCACACCATCTTCATCACTGATGTTAGCAAAGACCACGACAGTGGCTGCACATTTCATTACTTCGGGTGCATGTCACATACGAGGTGCCCCTGGGCTGCAGTCCAGCATTTGTTACTTTGACTGCTTTCCCAGGGGTAAGACGGTCTCAGTGTTTTTCCCGCATAAACTTGGTCAGAAGTTAGCTCTGAAGACGGTTTCATTTTTTTTCTTTTGGGCTGTAATCAAGTAAAAGAGGCCATGGCATTTCTCGGTCACCACCGTTACAACAGGCACAGTGTGCATTCGTTGGTGAACTAATTTGTAAGTCCTTCTGTTCGGTTTTGCATCTGTATGGGAGGAATGGTTTCAGTGTGTTTGGAGGTGTCTGTTAGCCGTGTTTTTGGCTGTGAAAATAAACCTCCAAGCGCGGTCGTGACTGTACAATGCAGGCACACAAACCCAAGACCTCAAAAGTAATTGCGTGGTTTTCTTACAAGACGCTGCAATAAACAGTGACCTGGAGAGTAGATTCTGACACTTCTCGACAAATCCTTTTCCTGTGACATGTCAAGGTTAATGTAGTATGTGTATTTTTTTTTTTAATTCTACTTTCTTTAGTAACTTCAGGATTCAGAGACAACAAGGTCACTGGCTGGTTTAGGTCGATAGGAATTCTGCTTTTCAGAAGGGCCAGGGTATAATTTACATATAATGTGCAATTGGATAATCGAATAGACAAGAATTGTCCAGTTTTAGTCTCTTTCTGATCATCTGACTCGGTAGGCTAGATAACAGTCTGCCATCTGAGCCGTAATTCTTGAAATTAAAAAAAAAAAAATCTGTTGGGTGATTGTAACTGGTCATGGACAGACTCCTTCCAACAACTGATTCTCACTGAGACCGAAAAGCTGCACAGTTGCACAGCGTTGGCCCGCGGCGGCCACACCAGGCTCTTCTGCCTCCAGAACAGTCTGTTTGCATTTGAAACGTCTTTAAACTTTTTAGGAGTTAGTGCAATAAGAGGATGTGAATATGTTGAGAACCTTTCAGACGTCATTAAATGTAATTTTGTTGTTAACAAATCTTTTAGGATAAGCGTCTGGATGTCCTTGCTTAAAACTGAGTTGCAAGCCCCCCTTCAGTGTCTATGTATCACCGAGAGGAGGTGCTTTGAGTTGAGGTTCTGCCTGTTAGTGTTTCCATTTCAAGGTGGGATCATGATTAGTGAAGGGAGGCGACAGACCACCTCCACTGCCGAGGGACCAAGGTGTGGCGCACAGTGCTACAGACTGCAAGCAAACGGCGACCTGCACACATGCCCGCCTCCTGTGTCATTTTATGGCTGTTTTGTGTTTTTTTGCCCAGTTATTTATTATTGTTAATAACTTACTTTTTCTTACCTTCTGTTGTAAATAAAGTACAAAGCAATCTTCTTTCCAAGTGTGGCTTCCTCTCTCCGCTGGCCTCCAGGGAGTGTTGGCAATGCTGCGTTTGTGGGCTGGTGGGAAAGAAGTGGTCGAGGCAGGAGGAACAAGCCGATGGCTGGTACTCGGGCCCAGTTCTGGGGGACTTGCGGGCAAGGAAACCTGGCCCAATAGTCATGTGTTGCCTTCAGGGCCAGGGCCCCTGGTAGGAAAAGCCTGGGCGCCAGCTCTAACTATCCAGCCAAAAACTTCTCAAGGCAAATCTGTAACCGAGCGGGATACACAAGCTCATCCATCCATCCGTCCATCCAACAGGGGCTTGGTCCCCCTTGTCAAATGCAAGTCTACAGTCTGAGTGGTAACCAAGAAAAGTCATCCCGAAGGAATCTGTAGGAACACTACCCCGTGGGGTTCTCTCCTTGTGTGTACACATCTTACATGTATGTTTATGCATGTGTGTGTGTTTAACTTCATGTAGTCGATCCAGGCAAACCCTGTTTTCAAGTTTATCATAGCGACTTTCTCTGCTTAATGATTAGCCCTCTAATATCCCATACTCCCACACACTCTCCCTTTTCTGTGGCATACAACCTAGTAGGATATTCCATTCAAGTCCAAACATTTAACCACCGCTGGGAAAATTAGAAATAGCTTTGTACTTTGCCTCAACGCTCTTGCTCCGGTCCCCAGCATTAGGGTCTCTCGCTAATGTTGCAGCCAAAGGAACGGGACTTCTCTGGTTTATTCAGACGTTCAGTGCCTCCTCTAGCTCCCTAAGCTGCAGAACTGTTGACTGGCTACGTGCAGAAACCAAAGCATAAGGTGCAGCACTGAATTTTACAAACATCAGTTAGAAGTCGGTTTGTCGTCGCTCTCGGCGACTACAGACATTGAACGGCGCATCTTCCCTTGAGGATTTCCTGAAAACCACGCATAACTGCCGAGTTTTGTTGAGTTGTTTTTTTAGACCAATTCAGGATCGAGGTAAAAACTCGAGCTCGCGGTTATTTTAGAATCAGGGACTCCTGATTGAAACAGCAGCTTGGTGAGGAGGCAGCCTTGCCTCCATCTCCCATCTCACTCCTTGGAAAGGACGTGAAGGAGGGTCAGCAGGCTGTGCGTCAGCCCTCGAACCCCGAGCCCTGGGAGAGCCGCTCCCCAGGAACAGAGGGGTCCCGGGGGGAGGAGTGGTCGTTTCTCCCACAGAGCAAACCAGGCGGGGTAGTAAGTTTGCCCTCAAGTTAGCCTGGAATCTGACCGCAGTCTCCTCTTTTTTGTTCTCAGTATTATGTGTTCGTGGTAACTTTTTATTTCTGAAATAATGATGGATTCACAGAAAGTTACAAAGACAGGGACACGGACGTGGACGTCCTGTACGGCCCTCCCCCGGCCTTCCCCAGTGACAGCAGCTTGGACAGCCGTCACACAACAGGGCCACACACACACGTGCGTGCGAGGCTGGTGAGACCTGAATAAGCTTTAAGTGTGCAATTCAGTAGCAGTAAATACATACGACGTTGTACAATCATCACCACTGCCCGTTTCCAGCACGTTCCATGCTTCCGAACCGAAACTGTTCCCATTAAACAATAACTCTCCCCTTGCTTCCCTCCAGGCCCTGCCAGCCTGCACTCCGTGCTTGTCTCTAGGAGTTCGCCTATTCTGGACACTTAATAGAAATGGAATCATACAATATTTGTCTTTTTGTGTCTGGCTTATATCACTCAGCATAATGTTTTCAACATGGGTGTTATGGCCTGTATCAGACATTTTAAAGGCTTATTTTATGGGGGGGGGGTGTCTAATAAGCCAGTAAGCATAGATGCTGTCCTGCGTTACATTAGAAAACGCCTGGGGGTGGGGGAAGCACTCCTGTTTCTGATGCTGTGTGATGTTGGGCAGATCCCGTCATCTTTCTGAGCTTCACTTCTCCAAGTGTAACCACACCGGCAGTAACAGGTAGCTTGTAGCCCTGGCCAGCGTGGCTGGGCTGGTTGGGCGTCATCCCGCGCACCGGGAGGTTGCTGGTTCGAATCCCGGTCGAGGGCACGTACCTAGGTTTCGGGTATGACCTCCAGTTGGGGCAGGTACCAGAACCACCGATGGATGTTTCTCTCTCACATTCATGTTTCTCTCTCCCTGCCTCTCTAAAAATGGATAAGCGAATAGTTTATTGATTATAATCAATAAACTAATTTTAAAAACCAACACAGGTAGCATATATTATGTCTCAGTGACAAACATGTACAAATAAGATTCCCAGATGGTGATGAAAGCTGCTGCTGAAGAGCCAGGAGGAAAAGAGAGGCTCCGGGCACTGCAAGGAAGCTCCAGGGGCCGGGATGGCCCTTCCCCGAGCGCCTCATCGTTTCCTCAGGCTCCTTTCACCCGGAGTCTATTTCCAGTGAGTCTCTTCCTTTCCGCCACAGGAGGTCACTAAAAGCAGCTGGGAAGTAGGTTAAAATGTTCTTTCTAGAAACCAGTTTGCCAAAGGAAACAAATCTAAGAAATGCAACTTTTTGGACCCTTTCTAGGATTCCAGCGACTACTAATAACTGCATGCGAGTTGTCGAATAATTACGTTTTACTCCTGTAAAGCTGGGGTGGTTAAACAAAACAATTTTTAAAAAAGTTAATTCAGAATATCTGGTGGGTCAATCGTGTGTTATATTAGATTCTTTTGAGCAATGTGTCCTGCCATTGCCAGAATATAAAAAGGTCAAAAACTTCTCTTTTTTTTCTGATACGCTTGGTCTAATTTACATCTACGTGGAAAAAACTTTAGTAGAAGACACCCTCCCCCACCTGAGGGGAGGTGTTTGAGACAGATCCGAAAAACGCACAAAAGTTTAACTACAGAGACCAGAGTTTTGCAAAGCCCTTGCGGGGGTAGGGTTGCCAGATTTAGCCAATAAAAATACAGGATGCCTGGTTGAATTTAATTTCAGATAAGCAATGAATAATTGCATGGGATATATTTATACTAAAAAAAAAATGACGCTACCTGAAATTCAAACCTGACCAGTCTGCGTCTTACTGGGCAACCCCGCTTGTGGGCCAGGTAAGGATTTGATCTTGTCCATCCCGAGGACAAGGCATTAAAGGGTTCGAAGCAAGGAGTGGCTTAATCTGACCAGAATTTTGAAGGGCTCGGACAGGCTGGAGGTTGGGAGGGAGCAAGTGGAGAAGCGGGGAGACAGGGAAGCGCCTACAGTGCTCCAAGGAAGAGACGGGGCCTGGACCTGCGGGTGGCAGTGGAGGAGAGAGGCGGACAGGTTGAGCTATATTTAGAAGATAAAATCGACAACACTTGGGACCTATGCTCTTCCCACTGCTTCAAATTCCTTCCACGTGGATGACAAGTTGCCCCAACCCCTCCTGAAGACTGTTGGACCCTGTGGGCACTAGGCCTGCCTCCCTGTCCTTTAACAGTTAAATCCCGTGTGCTTGCTTGGCCTCAAATCCCACATACGCTCCCTGGGTTTTGGAACTCGCCAGAAGGGTGCTGGCATTAGCTCGAGAGGAGACATAAGCCCCACACTGGGACGAAAGAACTTAGATTCTTCCTCTCGCTCTGATTTTTGCTGCGGGGAAGCCACCTTTATTTAGAGGTGCCTGTCTGATTTCCGACAATATTGTTCAGTTCATTGCTGTGGTCTCGACACTTACATCGATGACATTCTGGAACCGTATGATTTCATTCATCTGCGGAACACAGGACGAAAAATGAAAACAAACTCATAGATGCAGACCACAGATGGGAGGCTACCAGAGGGGGGCGGGGCAAAACCGGTACCGGGGTGGCATGTGTGATGTGGATGGGCCTAGACTTCGGGTGGCGAGCATGCTAGAGCGTAAACAGGTATCAAATTGTTACGTTGTACACCTGAAACTTACGTTGTGTTATTAAGTGTTACACCCATAACAAAATAATTAATAAAACAAGCGCAGTATCTTCGAGGCACAGCAAAGTAAAGCATAATAAAACGAGGTGTGCCTGTTCACACAATAGTTTTCCAATCCTGGTCCTGCCCTTCGTTTTAGTCTTAGCTTTACAATTGAACACACAAATAGTAAAAAAAAAATTTTTTTAAATTTGAGATTCTAAAACTCTGGAAAACATACGTCAGAGCATCTTAGACCACAACTTCTGAATACTCTGAAGTCTCGGTGGAATATATATGTACCGCCCACCCTCTTTTCAGAATGGTCCTTCTAGAAATGTTCCTTTGGCAAAACACTTACTACATCCCACTGGCGCAAGCCACCAACTGTCACCCTTCCAGGAAACGTCCATAGCGGGTAACAGTCCCCCTTTTGAACATGGCCGGGTGTCCTTTCCTACCCGTTATATAATTAGACTTGTTCGCTGTATATTTATCACCTGATTCTATTCTAGGAATTGAATGTGAGA